TGTAAGGCATTTGTTCAACACAGTGGAGAAAAGGGTAAAGGGAGATTCAGTTGCTGAGTTTTAAGGTATCTAGTGGTACAGGAAAATGCAGAGCCAAACTTTTCTTTGTGATGCACAGTGCCAAGGATGAGAGGCAAAGTGTCACAAATTGCAGGAAAAGAGATTCAGGCAGGATAAAGAAGAAAACATTTGATGAAAAAAGTTTTCCGAATATTGGCAAGGATGGAGGTTCTGCACTTGACAAAGTTCTCGGCACCCTGATCCAATTTTGAAGTTTTCACTGCTTCAGGCAGATTAGACTAGAGACGTCCTCAGTTTCTTTTCCAGCATAAATTATTCCACAGTTCTGAGAAAGCTTGGAACCCCCACCAAGCTTGATCCACCTGTCCATATGGCAGTAAGCTGAACAGATTTGGATACTTGACACCAGCAGGCATTAGTTTATTTTGGGCACAGGCTGATACACAAGAAAATATCACTGTCTGCATAAAATACCTCTTTGTAGAGATGTAACTGACAGCACGGGTTTTTCAGTACAAAAATATCTGAGTTTCCATAGAAACTAACTTGGATAATCCTTCCTGTATTCAGGCATTTCTCTACTGTGGAGAATCAAGGCTGTCAGCACAACTGTACAAAAAAAACACAACACAAAACCCACCCCCCACACTAGTAAGCAAGTGAGCACTTGTCTAGGTGTATATCATCCCACACAGTATCAGCAGGATGCATCTAGGACATATTCCCTGACCCAGCTGCTTGGAAGTACATGCAGTTTCAAAGTGATTATAACAAGGAATTGCCTTCCCTTGTTGCTGGAGACAGCATCCCACAGCACATAAGACAGTACTTTTTATCTTTGCTACTGTTAAAGAAGCACAGCAAACAGAGTTCCTTGTCTCTTCCACCTTAAGGTCAATCTTGCAATATTCAGCCACTGAATCCCACTGTTAACAGCAGACCAGCACTGAGAAACTTGCAGAAGAGCAGAAGGGGGAAAAGAAAAATATTTCTCAGATTTCTAGGAACTTGGCTCAGTCCTAGTTTCTGAAAAGCAAGTAAGAGAACAGAGAGGCCTCAGGAATGTCCTCCGAGCCCCCTTCTGATAGAGACGCTTAGGATAGAGGCAACTCAGCTGCGTGGTCCAAGGGGCTATGCATTCACATTACCTAGCAAGGGCCTGCCAACAGCTCCTTAAGTTACAGGGACAGATATGCCAGCCCTAAAAGCCAGAAAAGTTCATGAGTGGGGAGGAAGGAACAACAGCAAATAGAAGGTTTTTGCAGCATGCAAAAAGCTGAACAAACCTGTTCTGTCTCTCCATTCAGAACTGTACTGCTTGTACTACATTTAACTTTTTTTAAAATGATAATAAAGATTAAGCAAAATACAAATTTGAGGACATGGGGTTAAATTATTTTCAGCTAAAAATACAAAGGTTATTCAGTAAAGTTCCTTGCCTTTTTTTTTTTTTGATGGACACTTAAAAAGCATAACAATACCTAATCCATTAACAGTCATTCCCCCCACCCAGCTGGTACACCACACATAGAATAACATACTTCCACTGTTCAGGTGGATTTTTAGGGAGTAACAGATTTTTAGAGTAACAAGGGCACAGAGCCATTAGGAGAGGTCACTGTTGGACCACAGAGCCTGAGAAGCAAGGTGCTGTGCCAACACCAGTATCCCTCCCCAGCAAATCTGTAGTCAGCATTTACAACAATATTCAGGGAAATACACTAAACTATCAGCTCACCAGGCATACTGCACTTAATCCAGAAAACTCAGATGTAAAGACCATCCCACTTTTCTTTCAAAGAAGCCCACAACAGAAGTCCACTGACCTTGCTTCAGCAACCACTCTTTATAACTTCCTACCCACTTAACCCCAGCTGCTCCTCATAGAGCTATGACAAAGCTGAGGGCACTTCAGTAATCAGCTACGTGAATCTTTTTGGCCATCCCCCATAAGCTTTCCTTGCCTTAAAGTCTTTTGGCTCAAAGAAAAGAACTTAGCCACCTATGTCAGTCAGGCATCATGGATTAATACTATAAATGCTCACTTTTAATTTTATAAGTAGGCAACAATTCATAAAAATCATAGCAGTGAGAATTTTTCTGGAGTACTGTGTCACTACTGGCTAAAACTATGACAGTAGGCATTCATGCTTATAAACCTTGAAGCCTGGTTTAGGAGAGTAGGGAGATACACGACAGGATGTAGGTTCTCTGAGTAGCTGCAGTCTAAGTAAGAAACTTCATGTATCCCTGTACAAAAAGAGCTTAGGAATCCTGGCAAGCTTTAGACCACGTAGGCTGACTCTGCTCAGTAGTATCCTACCCTTTTTCCACACTAGCATCAGTGTTCAACATACACACCCAAAACAGGCTACCAGCAAATAACTGTGGATGGCAAAATACTCACAGGTAGCAATAGAGAGCGCTGAATTTACATATAATAGTAGCTCTGTGCTCCAAATACACAAGGCAGCTCTTGTGTTGATATACATGCATGAGTAACCACCCAAAGGACAGTCCAGCTCACCAGTGGCAGCCAAGGGGCAGAAGTTGAGAACAAGAAGTAGGAACTGCCAAAATTCAGGAAATAAAGCCTATCAAAATACTTATTGGCTCAGCTGTTGACTAGCCAAAGATCAGCTGTGGAGGATGGTTCAACTGCACTCCCAGCATCTATGTTTGACTACACCGGGCTTACCACAGGCCTGCTAGAAGGGCTGGTTTGTTCAGCTCTGCAGATACTAATACACGGCCCTCAGAATACCTGGATTTATTTCTTTTGCTTTCTTTCTTTTCTTTCTTTCTTTTTGGTAATTTAGTCTTTCATAATACCATTTGATCTTCCTTGTTCCAGTTAGCATATTTGTAAGACTAGATCCCTTCTGGGGCATTAATTTCTTAAAGCGTCACTCCTTTCTGTTTCTTTTTTAAGATCACTTGGATGCCGAGTGTATTCTGAATAGTACTCTCTACAGTTACATTAATTAAAGATACATTTAAGTAAAGCCTTGGCATGATTATAGAGGTTTCCCACTCTACCCTGCATGTATCTCTCTCTCTCTGAAAACCACTTCTCCTACAACATAATATGATACATTTACTTCTGCTTTTTGATGTAATGATTTTATGCTTACAGAGACTGCTTTTGATACAGTTCTAAGTAGCTGAAAAGATGCAACTCATTTTGGAGCATTAACCACATGAACTCTGGAGTGTTAACCACATTAAGCCATATTAACAGTTGATGTGGTTTATCTGAATCTGTTCCTCATTTGGACTGTGTCTCACCCTACTTTGATTTTGCTGCATCTGTTCCCTTCTAGTGAAATGGAAATTTTCTGATCAACATGTAGTAACACTCAATCCTTCGCTTGCCTTTCTTACTGTATAATCTCCCTTGCCTCAATCCATCACTTTTAGTATTCCCCAGGAATAAATCAAATGATACAGTAATGTTTTGTCTGCTTTGAAAGCGGGAGTCTTACTTCTGCAAAAAGCATCTACCTGTCACGAAAAATAATCCATTACTCATCTCTTTGTCTAATGATGGATTGTTTCCCCCATATAATTGACCTGCATGTGCTCCCTAGAAGGCTGTCTCATCAGAGCTCCTCTTCTGAGCTGGTTATCTTGATTTTGCTGGCAAAGAGCAGACAACCATCAATAAGCTTTTTCAGGATTGTTTGTCCATCCCATTTACCATGCAGTGCCACCTAGCTTCCTTTTGTTTTCGACAGTGTAGAGTAACTTCCCTCAGGCAGAAGAGCAAACATTTCCATATTTCTCAGTGTCATCCAGACAGGTCCTTCCCCACTGACCACACACAGAATACCCTGTAGTACTCTGAGAGATTTCCAATGCTGCATTCACTGTCTGTGGTTGGCACAATTAAACAGTGGTTCCATTTCTTCATTGTTGGTTTGGGTTTGCTGGATTTGTTCTGCTTTTGCTTCTCTGACTGCTGACAACCCCTTCTGACTATCCCTTGTGCCACGAAGCTATTTCCCAGGCGGCTGGAGGAGAGGCAATTGTAACTCTGTTTCAAGCAGCTGTATCATCAACTTACTTCCTTTTGCTGATGTGTTGGGGTTTTTTAATCTGCTCTGGCGACTGGATAGAGTCTATGAGTTCTAACTGCTAAAACTTCTGACATTCTTCAAAGACAATTGAAAGGGTAAATTACAGGATGGTAGAAGAGGACTTGTGAGATTTTGAGAGCTTAACCATAGCCATGAAACACAATCCCTTCCAGCTGCCTTCTTACAGGTGTTTCCCCATGTGCTGTAGGGGACCTTCCGACAGCATCAGTGGCAGCCCCAGACAAAAGTACAGGACAGCCCTCTCCAGTGCCCACATGGGAGGAAATACCCTCTCCCTTCAGGGAATAACGCTGAAGTGGAAACCAGTTTGTGCATTTAGTTGCCACAATAAAGAAACTCATTTTGAAGCCTTCAGTTTCATACAGTATGTTATAGAATGGCAGTTGGAAATGTGCTTAGCTAAGGAAAATGAAAAAGTAGACAGGGAGAGAGCTTTCAGATTCTGTGATAAAAAAAATCAAGAAGATGGAAGATGCAGTTTACATTGCAGCAAAGTTATCTGATGATATTAGACAATTTGGAATTTAGTAAAAATTATGTCTGTTCTTTGTTATAAATGATGCAAAAATGCAAAAGAAGCAAGGTGTTCTGGTAGTGGGCTAGGAAATGAAAAAAAGAAAAAAAATTCTCACATGCTACATACTCTGACTCTTGGACTGAAAACCCAAGAGTCAAGACTACTTGTTTGCAAAAACATGTTCTGCCACTTTGGTGGGCTGATGTACACCTGTCTATTTCCAGTATCATCATTCAGAATAACTTCTTCAGGATAGAACTGTCCATTGATTGAAGAGCTGGTTTGATTTATGTTCTGTGTCAGGCAGGGGTCAGAGGGCCATTCATAAAGCAAAAGGCACAAACCTTTGCTGATTCTGTTGTCTCACAGATTTCATTCTGCTACAGCTGGTGGCTGAGCATTTCTGCCTGGGATGGCGGAGGATCAGGAGCTGACTCAGCCACACAAAGCTCAACTTGAGCCCTCCCTTCAGCAGCGCACCAGCAACACATACCGCAGTGCCGAGCACTCTCAGGCCTTGCTCAGTGGCTTGGTATCTCTCCGAGACAGCAGCATCCTCTTCGATGTTGTTCTGGTAGTGGAAGAGAAACCTATTGAGGCTCATCGCATACTCCTAGCTGCATCCTGTGATTATTTCAGGTACACTTCAGTACGGCAGTAACAAGCACGTTTCTGAATGTTACTGAATCCTGCAACATCCAAGTCTTCTGACTTGGCACACTGCTTCTGGATGTAAAATGGGATCCATAGCTGAATGTGTTGCATAATATTAAGTATGGCTTTAGTCATCTCTCTGTTATTTTTCTACAAAAATAAACCTTTTTTCTGCACGCTGAGCTTACCTCCACTAAATTCACTGGCTGTGGTAAATGGAGGTATATAAAGAGGAGAGACTGAACAGGTGTCTTCTGCATAAATGCACTCTGAGTGACTTTAGCATTGTAAGACTTTGTCCATTGTGGTGATCATTTCATAATACACAAAAAGTCACTGGAAATGGATCACTCCTCTGTTAATGTGCCTACACTGTGACTCACTGTCCTTTGAATCAGGCACTCCTCTGGTCAATTTGACTAGCAGTTTCGTGAACTGACTTTATTTTCATAGAGAAAACAAATAAATCCCAAGGCAATCCAGAAAAACGTCTAACTGGAGGAAGAACTGCTCTAGCTTAGAAGAAAATCCTACAGTCCCAACTTCCTCTGGTTTTCCTCTTCCCAACACACCCAGAGTATCTGCTTCTGCACATGGACTATCCTCTTTCCCTGCAGAATGAAGAGTATTACTTTCTTAAGTCCTAAGGGCCCGTACTCTTTGTATCATTGACTTAGAGAAAAGGTAATCCCATAAAAGTGTTCAGCTAGTTTTTTACCTTTCTGAATATTTTTTATGTTCTTAGGACAATGTAAGATATGCAAACTGAAAATAGGTGCAATACAAATCTGCCATTGCATGTGCCATTGTTTTTTTTACAGAGGAATGTTTGCAGGAGGACTGAGAGAGATGGAACAAGAAGAAGTTCATATTCATGGCATCTCCTACAATGCAATGTGTAAAATCTTGAACTTCATCTATACTTCTGAGCTGGAACTCAGTGTGAACAGTGTACAGGAAACCTTAGCTGCAGCCTGTCAGCTTCAGGTGAGATACTGGGACATGTGAAAAAAAGAAGCAAAAAACAATGAAAGGAAGAGAAAACATGGGTATCTGGTTAGATGGAGTTTAAGGGAGTGTGTAAGAGCATGGGTCTGATAAGAAGAATTTCTTTGGGATGTCATATCCACCCAACTATCTGTGGAGGGGTAGGAACAATGAATACTTGCACATCTCATTTGTGCCAATGGTTTTGTTACTTAGAAACATTTACCATTTCATCTGGAGTACTATTTTATATAGCGCTCACTTCCACTGCTCTGCTTATGAAAGCTTCCCTGAAATAGGATCTATCTGGCCTATGGTAAAGGACAGAGCTTGCTGCTCAGAAATTGTTTTGCTGCTCAAGATCTTCCCCAGATTGAGCCCACAGGCACATAACCTCCCTTGACCCCATTGCTACAAGAAATCCTTCACTATGGTTTCTTCACTAAGTGCAGAATTCATGTGCAAGTTTTTTTCTCTAATTTCCCCTGCAGCCAACTGCTGCACCAGGCTTGGGTACTAACTATTAATTTTCCTTTCAGAAGTCTTCCTGTGGTCGAGTGATGCATATATATTTGTTACAAGTACAGTTTTTGATACAATCTACCTATAGTGCTCTGAAAGGACAGTTGCAGAGTGACTGTAAACCTGGCTTCCACCACGCTTGCCGTTTTCATGACTGCCTCACAAGCAGCGGGCAGCTGGGCGCCATGCTAACGAACCAGGCAGCCTGGCTGGCCATGACTGGTCGTTTGTTATATTCATCTACATACCCACGCTGAGTTCTTTTTCTCTGCAGAAAGGTGAATTGGGTGCAAGTGAACACGGTGATCAGACTGTGAGGCAAGTGCTATCTGAAACTAAAAATCTCTCTCTCTTGCAGATTCCAGAAGTCATTAAGTTCTGTTGTGATTTCCTTATGTCCTGGGTAGATGAAGAGAACATCCTCGACGTATACAGACTAGCTGACCATTATGACTTGAAACATTTGAGTGATCAGCTGGACTCGTACATTTTGAAGAACTTTGCAGCTTTCTCAAGGACACAAGTGTACCGACAGCTACCCTTGCAGAAGGTCTACTCCCTTCTCAGCAGCAACCGTCTGGAGGTTAACTATGAGTTTGAAGTTTACGATGGGGCACTTTTTTATCATTATTCTCCAGAGCAACTGGAGACAGATCAGGTCTCCCTGACGGAGCCACTTAAGCTACTTGAGACAGTTCGTTTTCCTCTGATGGAACCCCAGATCCTGCAAAGGCTTCATGACAAATTAAGTCCATGTCCTTTAAAAGATACAGTTGCAGATGCATTAATGTACCACAAGAATGAATGTCTTCAGCCGATGCTTCAGACTGCCCAGACACAGCTGAGATCAGAGTTCCAGTGTGTAGTGGGATTTGGAGGGATGCATTCTACTCCATCCATTGTCCTCAGTGATCAAGCCAAGTATCTGAACCCTTTGTTGGGAGAGTGGAGGCACTTTACAGCTGCACTAGCCCCCAGAATGTCCAACCAAGGGATTGCTGTTCTCAATAATTTTGTATATTTAATTGGCGGAGACAACAATGTAAGTGGTTTTCGAGCAGAGTCAAGGTGTTGGAGGTAAGATAAGGATAATCCTGCTACTATTTTTATTACCACCCTGTTGCCCATCTCTGAGTCAGTAAGCCAGTAGTGCAGCCTGTACCCTTGCTAGCTCACAGAGTAGGAACTGAGCAGGGGCCTCACTGAAAGAAAACACAAGAAATAAAAAAAAATTAGCCTCTGAGTAACAGGAGGCTTCCAGCATGCTTATGGGACAAGGCCAAACCTGGTAGGGTAGAAACAGCTGCTCATTCAAGGGTGTGGCATGTGCCACTTTCTGCCTTGTTGGAGACGGGGGAAGTATTAAAGGTGTGGGAAGCAGTAATGAACCTAGAATCCCAGACTGTGTAGATGCTCTTGAACTAGGATTTTCTAGAAGTCCTCTGTGTGTAGTTTTGGTCCCAATACAAAGGGATTTCACTACCTAAAAGGGTTTTTAAACAAGATGCTGTTACTGGTTGATTTTCAAGAATTTGTGTGCACAATCGCAGCATTCCAGGGTACTCATATTCTTCTGTGCAAGCGAAAAAAACAAGAATGAGGTGTAGACCTTCATGATGGTTACACTACAAAAACAGATTTAAACCCTTTTGTCTTTAGATAGTGGTAAATTTTTTTACTAATTTTAGCTGAGTTGCCCTCATTTCACAGCATGCATAGTTTTGCTTCACGACCAGTTTTCTCTGTAACTAAAATTTCCAGACCACATAGATGTTGTGATCTGAAAGTGAATCATAAGTTTCACTTTGAGCAGCAGGTATTTGGGGAAAATAATCAAAAGAACTCACCACATACTTATGCCCTTCTTGGACTCTTGAAAATCAAGATTCAGTGTTTGTGCTATTTCTAGACTGTGTTACCTTGTAGAACAGCTTTGTGCAGGCAGAGATTTTGATACATAGCCTGACAGCAGTGCATAAGATAATGGAAAACCTTGGCTTTTATAGCATGATTATGTCAGCTAAAATACATCTTCTAAAAATAGAATAAAGCAACTTTGCTAATAATAAAATGCTGACAAGGATAAATTTCTCTCCATTTACAGCTGAGCTCAATTTCAGCCAAAGACAGTACAGTAACCCACATCTGTGGTGCTGTCTGGTATTCCCGCAATGATTCTGTGACTGTATGAATAATTTTCTTTGATCTCATTCTTTTACAAGGTATGACCCGCGACACAACAAATGGTTCCAGATCCAGTCCCTACAGCAAGAGCACGCTGACCTCAGTGTTTGTGTTGTGGACAACTATATATACGCCGTCGCAGGCCGAGATTACCATGAAGACCTGAGGGAAGTGGAGAGGTATGACCCTAAAAGCAACACTTGGGAATACGTGACACCTCTGAAGAAGGAGGTAAGGAGTGCATTAGCTACTCACATACTACTACCGGTCCTCAATTCCTGATTTAAACTTTTTAGATGCTTTTCTCCGGTGTAGCTTTAAATTTGCTGATATTCAGATGGGAAACAGTAGTCTCTGTGTACGGGATAAATGAGTATCAAGAAAGGAGAATAATAATATATGTGAATTACATTTTGAGGTTAAATGCCTTTTTTTTTTGTTTTCTTGTTGTTTTCTCCTGCACTTTTATTATTATTAATTCTTAAAACCATTTAAAATTGAACACAACCTTTGGGAACAGGAAGTTCTCATTCCCTCTAGGCAGGTAAACTCTGAGCCACAGTACTACAAGCTTCTCACAGCCCTGACAACATGCTTTACTGCTCATTGCAAGTAGTGCCCCAGGAAGAAGACACATCAGTTTTTATAGACTACTTAGTTCTTGGGCTCAGATCTGAGATTAGGTAATAAGTCCTGGTGACTGTAGCTTATGTGATGCAGAATCACATCTCGGTCAGCTCACACAAGGCCCTTGCTCATTTGAAATATGTGAGTGAATAGCTCTCTTTTGTCATCAGTACCAGCTACCCTTCTAGAACAGCAACTGCCAAACAGGCAGTCATGGCCTCAAGAACCAGGAAGTGGGGCAGTGACATCGGAATTGGGGTTATGAGTAGAAAAGTTTGTTCTAAGTTCTAACACTGTTAAAAAAGGCAAGAATTTCCATTTTCAGGTTAAAAGTGTTGCAAATGAGGAGGAAGATGGTTTGATGAGTCTTGGTTAGGGAAGAAAACTAAAATCCTGAGTAATCTTTCAAGAAACGATGCTGTTTGCTGCTGCTCCCTTTAAAAGCTTTGGGTCAAGTGTGCAGCACAAAATAGTATTTGTGATTTCATAATGCCTCTCAACTGACAATATTGGGGCACCTTAAAAATATAAATATTACTGCCATTTTACAAAAGGGATGCAGAGACATAAGAGGATAAACAGCTTGTATGAACTCACAAATAATAAATGTGTGACACTATAGAAAGCCTTAAGGTCCAACTGAGTGCTACGAAGTAGGGTATCTTGCATTCCTGATAACACTGCTTGTATAAGAAAAATCTCCAACAAAAAGGCTTCCAGGTAGACTAGGGAGAAAAGTAATAGTATGAAAGATCTTCTAATCAAGGAACAATAAAGCATGAGAACCCACTGCAGTTCTGGAAGTTTTAGAAATTCTAGTGTATTTCATTCAGAAATTCACTCTTAGAGCATAATCACCTAGAAAAGAATTGTCTTTAAGAAAATCCTTCCAGATGTTGATACCTGCATAACTCACAAAGAATGTCATTCCCTTAATGTTTATTCCATGCTTGGAATCTGGGAGAAATACATAAATGCAGATCTCAACCTCTTGCTTTCCCCTGTGGCAATACAGGTATATGCACATGCTGGAGCAGCGCTGGATGGAAAGATGTACATTACTTGCGGGAGGAGAGGAGAAGACTATTTGAAGGAGCTTCAGTGTTATGACCCAAAGACTGACCGCTGGGACATTTTAGCAGATGGTCCAGTGAGACGTGCTTGGCACGGGATGGCTGCACTGCTAGGAAAGCTGTATGTAATTGGAGGAAGCAACAACGATTCTGGCTACAGAAGGGATGTTCACCAGGTGAAAGCATGTCATACCTGTGTCTTTCTTGGAAGTCTGTTTCTTGGAGATGCTTGCACTCTGACATAATGTCTTTCTTCTACTAAGTATGCAAATGAAACTGCCTGCCCAGCAACAGCTACTGCACTACCTCTCCCCGACTCAGCTGCAGAACTTGCAGTGATTTATTTACTGCTTTCTGTCTTGAATGTATGGTCTAACCCACAAAGCATGAAAGCTCTACCACTTGGAATTCTTAAAATTTTAAAACACCTTTGATGAATACTGCTCATCAGCATGCACATACCCAATAAGTAGTACATCAGCTAAATTCACTTCACGTTGTCTTCTCATTTTTTTCTAAGTTGAGGACTTTTGAATTACAGCATTGAATTGCAGGACAGAGTTGTTAAGAATATGTTGGATGGCCATTGCATAATGCAATAAAATGTACAGTACCTCATGATAAGTGATGGCTGGAGACAATTCTCTTGAGTCTTACTCCAGCTTCTAAAGCGGCTAGAGACATGAAAAGAAGACAGAAAAAGTAACTGTTCTTCATCTGAGTGATAAAAAGGTTCTTACAAATAAAAGCAGTTAGCCAAGTAGGTACCCAATGAAATCCAAAAGTTCCCAACATATGGTGCAGACACAGCTTAGCAGATTTGTCATATTTGTATGTTCCAGCACATTTTTTCCTAATGCAAACAGATGCATGATGTCTGAGCTTACATGAGCATGTGCCCCCATCTTTTTCACTTCTGTATACATTTTTGGAATGGCATACAGCTGTTACCCCAGCAGCAGAGTCAGAAGTTGTGGCTTAAAACTTTATGGCAACTGCACAGTTTTCTGCCCGAGTACTGCTGCTACACAGCGATATGCTCTCTCCATTATCAACACCCTGTCAAAAGACTGATGATATCGCATGGCTTCCTAAATAGTTTGCCATATGGCCAGCCTCCTTCGCTAAGATACAAGTTTGATTTTGCCTAATCTCTTTGGGTTTTTTTCACAGGTTGCCTGCTATAGGCCAAGCACTGATCAGTGGACAAATGTATGCCCGCTCCCTGCAGGACACGGAGAGCCAGGCATCGCAGTCTTGGACAACAGGATCTACGTCTTGGGAGGCAGATCTCACAACAGAGGAATCCGCATGGACTATGTCCACATTTACGATGCAGAGCGAGACTGTTGGGAGGAAGGACCCCAGCTGGAGGATGATATTTCTGGGATGGCTGCCTGTGTCCTCACTTTGCCCAGGGCCATTTTAATGGAAACTGAGAAATGGTGCTCGGAATGGCATGCAGACCGCGTGAAGTATCACCTTGACTTTCCATCAGAAGTTATGAGCGTATCAGACTGGGAGGAATTTGACAATTCAAGTGAAGATTAGAAAACCTGAATACTAATTTTTAGCCTGTGGATGAGGAAAGGCTTGGAAAAAATACTTAGAGATTTTATATGTCTTTCTTATATACATAAATCAGTATTTAAAGGTTTGAAAAATACGTGTTCTGCACAAAATGCCATTCACAGTCAGTATCTGCCCATCTGCAAGTGGTCTGCACAAAATGCCACTTACAGTCAGTACCTGCCCACCTGCCAGAAAGCAGCGTTTTATAGTAACCACAGAACTGCCATTTTCCCACCAGTTAAAGTATAGAGGTTCTTTTCCTTTGAAGGAGAATTTTCTCGACCTTCAGCATGGACAGAAAAAAAAGGCACAGAAGGCTCAGCTTGACTAGCTTCTTTCCTTCCAGCTTGTAGCTTGAAATAGCTTTTTTGAATTTTTTTTTCCTTTTCTTTAGGGTAATAAAACTTCCTAGCCAGCTTAACACAGGAAGGTAACACCTAGTGTCTCCCTCCTGTGCCAGGTGTCAGACAGCTTGATTGGTTTTTAAGCAAGATTGAACATACAGAAACAGGAAAAGTAGCAAGAAAAGTCTGAACCTTCATCTCATCTGGGCATGCAGCCATCTTTGTAACTGGGTTAGAGTCTGTGAACTGACACCCACTCCTGAACTTCTATACTGCAAGTTCTGTCAGCACAGTGGAAAGAAGATTTCTAGAAAAAAAACTCTCTGTACAGAGTATGGCAATCTCATCGTTCAACTGTCAGACACATTTGTTCACAAGCATAAATTAATAAATCCTTGTCAGAACTTTTTTCTTTTTAACTGCTGTCTCAGTTTTATTAACCATGATGTGGAGTCTGAAAGTCAGTGACCTTAATTAGATCTATAGTACTACGTTACTATGAGTGAAGTTACACCGGCTTGGGAGATGGGCAATTTTTTTCATTGTTTTACTATATACTGTAGAAGAGGATAAAGAGAGCAGAGATTGATTTGCCACAGCATAAGAAAAAAAAAGCAACAAGGAGCTAACTAGAGGTATTGAAGATTACACTGGTCTAAGAATCTGCAGTAGCTGAAGTAATGCAGAACATAATATAGTATTACTGCAGCTCAGAAAGATAAGGCCTAGTAAATCCTTCCTTTGTGAGGCCTTAAAATAATTGGCTTCTGACTACCGTCTTGCTTAATGCTACTGTAGGAGCTGATTTAAAGTCTGAACCAGTGTGATACCTGAATAATATGGGATCCTTCCTCTTGGAGGGGTGGGAGAACTACTAAAAGCTTTTAAATCTTAGAGCAGTAACGAGGTTGCAGGAGAAGGGCAAAACCAAAGTGACAATCTGAAGGGTATGATACTCGTCAAGTATCATCACATCATGACAAACACTGCACATTGATGTGCTACTTCAGAAAAACAGAAGTTCCTGGATACTACCCTTACTTAGGGATTATTTGTTTATGGAAACAAAGACAATTTAAAAATAGACCTAGATGACTCTACATTAGCAGACTTGGTTTCTGAAAAAGATTCAAGAGTATTCGCACACTTCTTTTAATAAGCTCAACAGCTTTTTCTTGGTAAGAGGGGCATTTGTTGGATCTTTTCCTCCAGCACTGTCAGTTTTCACCTCAATTTCTGAACCTTTCCCAATTGGCCAATAAAACAAAAGAGCTCGTAATGCAGGAAACCACGTTTATGAGATTTTTCAGAAAATCTTTTTTTTTTCATACTGAACTCCAAACTGCAGTGGAGTCTGGACATACAGACTTTATTATGCTGTAGTATTGGAGACTGACGAGTAATCCTATTTTGCCTGCAGAGTTTTAATGCCTGTGTAGGAATTAAATGTAGCCCTCAGGTGCAAGGACAGATCCTCTGACACGGACATCACTAGAATCACTCCTTCCAGACTACAAGTGTTTCAGAAATGATTCAAGATTTCTAGTGGTCCTGGTCATATTCTAGATGCAGCTGTTCTAACTTAACCCAGACATCTAACTCAAGCCTAATGCTTGCAGTGTGTTTTCTATTTTAACTAGCACTTCTTGACAGACCAGTGGTATCTTATGTTATACTTAGCCTCTTTCATCATAAAAAAAAAAAAACATTCTTTGTTTGGCTTCTTTTCTTTTTCCTTTATGTACCACTAGAGGGTATTCCTTACTATTATGAATAACCAAGCTGATAGCCTAATTCTTAGATTACACAAGAGAATATAAAACACGAGTAATTATTAAGCTAAAGAAACATCTTGAGAAAACTCATGGTTGATTTTTTTTTTCCCAGCTTCTACCCTATCACTCCCTCTATGTTTGAATACTGATTTTTAGCTAGTCAGGTGATCTCTTTTTCCATTTATCAGTATATGCAATTTTATGATTGCATTATCTATTAAAGCTTGCAGCTGGATGCTGTTCAAAGCAAATCAATATAAAGCTTATAATGCAATTACAAGGAAATTACTTTTCCTTAAAGCAAATCATCCACCTTAGAAGTGCTGCATTCTTTTTTCTTTTTTAGTTACTGGCATAATACCCCTAAGTTACATGAATTAAACATAAGGGCAGGTATTATGTGTTGTGATTTGATAAAAACAAAACTTCTATTGCTTTGACGCAAAAAATTTCATCTGAACATAATGTGACTGCTGAAAGCTACAGCATCACTATCTTACTTGTGCGTCTTTTGTTTAGGTAAAAAAACAGTTTACCTTAGCTCAAGCCCATCCCAATCATTTAGCAGCATGTACCTTTTCAGACTAACACGGAGGCTAAGCAGTAATAAAATTGCACTTTTTTGGGGCAATTTTAACTCAGCAGATATAAAGCACTTTGTTCTTCTTGCTTACTACGGTTACCTATGTAAAGGAATTGCATGAGAGATTACGAATTGATAAGCAGAGCTGTAATTATTATTGATTGGTTTTCTGATGAAGAATGATGTTTCAAGAACTTAGACCTTCACCAGCCCACTTAAACTTTGTGCCACCTGAAGAACACCACATATTCATCGGGATTTTAGGCTGATTCTTTTTTTTTTTTCTTTAAAAATTCTCTGTTTTCCTAAATATGTCAGTCTTGCAGTAAAAAGCATTAATTTTTTACAGCAAGTTCTCAGAGACAGTACAGCACTAGACATTCTGGACAGATGGACAATGAACTAAGAAAGCTTTAAGTTATTTCTGGTCTGTGAGAGAATAGCTAAACAACTCTTGCAGAACTAAGTGATCAAAATACCAACACTTAAATGGCTGATACATTAGGAAGTCCAAGAGAATAATAACTAGATTTCTTGATGATCTATTCTCCTATTTCCTGTCAGCACAGAGGTAAAGCTGCATAGGCATATTTGCTAGACTTTTAATTAGTAGCCTTGTATCCTCAAGTATTTCAGGCTTCCACATTTGGAGAAGTGATTGTGATTGCTTCAGTTTTTGTTTCGTAACAGCTTTCACTGGTGTATTTCTTCTCCAGCTGTCTACCTCCAAATCCAACATATCCTTTCCCATTTCCTCATGGTTTAAATTAGGGTCATTAATTTTGCATTGGAAGCATACCCAGTACTTGGTTTAAAACAAATAAGGATTCTCATGCTATACCCTTGACAGAAATGTACTTCTCCTTACTCAGAGACCATCCACATGTGCAATCTGTTTGGCATTCGGCCCAACTGATGGGGTCAGAAGCTTCTGGAGAAAGGAAGAAGGAGCAGCTGGGCACGGGGAAAGAGGGTCTGGACCTTCTCAAGGGACTATTCAGCCAATGGCGTTTTCATTTCATCAGCAGCTGAAGCACTTCAAGAGCTCCCCACCTCCTCAGTTGTCCTACAACTACTTGGCCATGCTCTGAGAGTGGAAGCTGCCAACAGGTAAGATAAAAAGTCGAAATGTATTTATATGTAATAAAAGGGTAAAGTGGTACCACACAATCATACATTCTTCCTAAACCAAATGCAGCTGTAGGGATGCAATAGGCCTGAAATGACTGCAGTCTAGCAAGATGAAGCCCAGTCTTCTCAGGTAACATTAATGATCTTGAACAAGTCGTCTTTTTCTCATCTCTAAGTAGAACGTGGGATCTTTCACCTAGAAGATCTGGCCTAGCTCAACCACAATTATTGAAACTGAGGGGGAATTACTTGAAGGATGCACATAGCCTGTATGAATACAAGTTCAGAACAGGAATTGTGGCAGTTCTTCCAAACTGAAAACCTCTCTGGAGGGGAAGGTGTGTGTGCTGGTTCTCCAGCATCAGTCCAGCCCCATGCAGTACTTGCACAAAAACCGGTTTATAATTAAATATTGTTTATTCCTGACATGTTTCAACTCCTTTGAAATTTCAGTATTATCTGTACAAAACAGAGGCAAAATTACTATGTATTTGAACTACTACATTTGATTGTTATTATAACAAAATTGTAATTCAGTTAAATGCAGCAATAGAAATGTTTTTATTTCCTTTTTATATACTATGTGTTACCAATTCTGCTGCAAACTTGTGGCTTTTGTGATTATTTCTTAAACATTATTTAGCATGTTATTGCAAGTCCCAAGTACTATCTTTTAATCTATGTTTTGTCTATAGCCAAACAGAAAACAATCCAAAGGTGTTCAAATGACAGAAGAAAACATAATAACCTCTGTAATCTCCTGTAGCCTATCTACATGTGTTTAAAGCTGATTCTCACTGGCAGGTACAAGCACTTAAACCACTAGGAATAGATCAAAGGTATAGCTACTAAGTAAGCTTCCCTAGCAATGGATGAAATATTTTTTGATAGATGTGAAATTTCAGACGGTATTATTCATCTCTGGGGTCTACTCTTTTGCTTGTATTGCTGTACGTGACTAGACAGCTGTTGTTTTTCACAGAGGAGATGGCTGTGTTTCAGCAGCTGGTAAAGTGATACCTGTATTCAGGCCCCACTTTAAGATCTTTTCATGTTAGCAATGTCATGAGACTTTCCTGGATGATTTTGTCTAAAACGTAAGAATGACACTAGATGAGTCTTCCATTTTAGATGATTTGAACTCTGCTAAATGTCTGCAGAGACACAGCCCATATGTTCCAATCCAAACACTTCAGCTGGCACTAGTTGCCAATGTAGGAAGACGACCAAAAGACCAAAAAAAAAAAGACCAAAAAAAAAAAGACCATGTTACGACTGAGCTTTTAGAAAAGGCAGAACATGAAAAAAAGACAGCAAAGCTGGAATAAGATTGCACAATCATCTACTCAGGCAGTTAAAGGCAGTAACCTTAAATCTATTTCTCCATTTTAAATGTTTTTTTGCTTTCA